ATTGGTTTTTAGGAGCATATACCCACGTGGGTGATTAAAAGATGAACTGAGGTCCACACTCCAGTCCAGTTGGTGGTGGTAATGCATCTTAAAGTTGGTTGCCAACCAACATATAAAGTCCAAAGAAGAAGAAGAAGCCTGAACTTGGTTTACCGTTTGATCTGTGGATTAATTGTTGGAGTAGAGGACCTTGTGCATTTCAGGTAAAATAACAACCCAATGTTTATATCCCAGGACAAATTAGCTAGCAACAGCAAGCTAGCTAGCTAAATTGCCATAAAATGTTTAATGCTTTTCAACCTGTCCCCAAGTTAATATATTTGGTTCAGAGTTCGTTTTGATATATTTCAACCTGCGTGTCCTGATTGTGTCTGATGTGGGAGGAAAACAAATCAACATGCGCGCGATGGCGCACACATACGGTTTGGTCAGCATGTAAGGCTTCTCCCTCTGTTTTCCTTCTCACCCTCAGAGACACAGCTAAGGCTTCTCCCTCTGTTTTCCTTCTCTCCATCACAGAGACACAGCTAAGGCTTCTCCCTCTGTTTTCATTCTCACCCTCACAGAGACACAGCTAAGGCTTCTCCCTCACAGAGACACAGCTAAGGCTTCTCCCTCTGTTTTCCTTCTCTCCCTCACAGAGACACAGCTAAGGCTTCTCCCTCTGTTTTCCTTCTCTCCCTCACAGAGACACAGCTAAGGCTTCTCTCCCGGTTTTCCTTCTCTCCCTCACAGAGACACTCCCTCTGTTTTCATTATTATTATTTAATTTTTTAAAATTTATTTCACCTTTATTTAACCAGGTAAGCCAGTTGAGAACAGGTTCTCATTTACAACTGCGACCTGGCCAAGATAAAGCAAAGCAGTGCAATAAAAACAACACAGAGTTACATATGGGGTAAAAAACATAAAGTCAAAAATACAACAGAAAATATATATACAGTGTGTGCAAATGTAGCAAGTTATGGAGGTAAGGCAATAAATAGGCTATAGTGCAAAATAATTACAATAGTATTAACACTGGAATGCTAGATGTGCAAGAGATTATGTGCAAATAGAGATACTGGGGTGCAAAAGAGCAAAATAAATAACAATATAGGGATGAGGTAGTTGGGTGGGCTAATTTCAGATGGGCTGTGTACAGGTGCAGTGATCGGTAAGGTGCTCTGACAACTGATGCTTAAAGTTATTGAGGGAGATAAGAGTCTCCAGCTTCAGAGATTTTTGCAATTCGTTCCAGTCATTGGCAGCAGAGAACTGGAAGGAATGGCGGCCAAAGGAGGTGTTGGCTTTGGGAATGACCAGTGAGATATACCTGCTGGAGCGCAGACTACGGGTGGGTGCTGCTATGGTGACCAATGAGCTAAGATAAGGCGGGGATTTGCCTAGCAGTGATTTATAGATGGCCTGGAGCCAGTGGGTTTGACGACGAACATGTAGTGAGGACCAGCCAACAAGAGCGTACAGGTCACAGTGGTGGGTAGTGTATGGGGCTTTGGAGACAAAACGGATGGCACTGTGATAGACTACATCCAATTTGCTGAGTAGAGTGTTGGAGGCTATTTTGTAAATGACATCACCGAAGTCAAGGATCGGTAGGATAGTCAGTTTTACGAGGGCATGTTTGGCAGCATGAGTGAAGGAGGCTTTGTTGCGAAATAGGAAGCCGATTCTAGATTTAACTTTGGATTGGAGACTCTTTATGTGAGTCTGGAAGTTGAGTTTACAGTCTAACCAGACACCTAGGTATTTGTAGTTGTCCACATACTCTAGGTCAGACCCGTCGAGAGTGGTGATTCTAGTCGGGTGGGCGGGTGCCAGCAGCGTTCGATTGAAAAGCATGCATTTAGTTTTACTAGTGTTTAAGAGCAGTTGGAGGCTACTGAAGGATTGTTGTATGGCATTGAAGCTCGTTTGGAGGTTTGTTAACACAGTGTCCAATGAAGGGCCAGATGTATACAAAATGGTGTCGTCTGCGTAGAGGTGGATCTGAGAGTCACCAGCAGCAAGAGCGACATCATTGATATACACGGAGAAAAGTGTCGGCCCAAGAATTGAACCCTGTGGCACCCCCATAGAGACTGCCATAGGTCCAGACAACAACAGACAATTCTCTCCCTCACAGAGACACAGCCAAGGCTTCTCCCTCTGTTTTCCTTCTCTCCCTCAGAGACACATCTAAGTACCTCTGGTGACTGGTGTCTCTCCCTCTTTCAGCAGAGAGTTATGTATAGCAGGTCAGCTTGCCTTCACTCTCTCTCCTTCTCTCTTCTCTTGATCTTCACACTTTCTTCCTTGCTTGGCCTCCTCTGCCTGAATAGGGTGTTTAAGAGAGAACCAATCCTGTGTGAAAAAGTAGTTCCCAAGGCCAGCGTTACTCAGGTTGTTCTAGAGCTGTGGTGTAGAGCCTCCCTCTCTCAGCCCCTCTGTCCTTTTCGGCTCTCTTCCTCCCAGCTGGTAGTTTCAGTCAGCACTGAACACATATAGAGAAGAAGGGGGGAGAGGAGCTGGCTTCTGATTGGTTGGGGGGGTGGGGGTGGTCAGCTGGAGTAGCCGAGGCTCTGATTGGCTAGGGGAAGTGCAGGGGAAGCCGAAGCTCCGCCCACCTGATCAGTCTGTTTTGCAGAAGCAGAGAGAGCAGAGAACACTCCAAAAACAGCCTTTCTGTGTGTGTGTGTGTGTGTGTGTGTGTGTGTGTGTGTGTGTGTGTGTGTGTGTGTGTGTGTGTGTGTGTGTGTGAGCAGAATTAATAGAAGCTTGCAAAACAAAGGCTGTTATTTCCTGAAACAGTTTGTTAGGCCTAGGCTGTTATTCATACATAGAAAGGATGTGATGGTGTGGGGATGTCTTGCAAAACAAGAGAAGCTTCTTCAGCTATGCACCTCGAAAGAAAGAAAGAAGAAAGAAAAGAAAGAAAGAAGAAAGAAAGAAAGAAAAAGAAAGAAAGAAGAAAGAAAGAAAGAAAGAAACGAAGAAAGAAAGAAAGAACATAAAGACAGAATTTAGACAAACAGCGGAGAGAGAGAACAAGAGGAGAGAAAACAAATGACTTCTGTTTCCAGTAGACGTTCAACTGTGTCAAAACCTCATGTTGTTGTCTGCTCTTGTCTTCTGCTTGTATTTTAGTACTCAGGTCTCACTTGTAAAAGAGATCTTATATTCAATAAAAACATCTTCATTCACCTCAGCTGAGAAAACAATAGAAGAGGAGCTTTTGTATCTCACTAGACAACACTGTTATTTGGATCCAACATCCCCCCCACACACACACACACACACAAGCACTGCCCCTTTAAGAACCCTTGTTCACTTCCATAAGGAAAATGGGGTGTGGCCTCTTCTCTCAAGTCCCTCCCCTGTTCAAGGGTGTCGGGGTACAGCTGAAAAGAATGAAGAATAGAAAATTCTGTTCACACACACTTGCACATCCACACAAATACACATCCACACACACACACAAATACACACACTAGGGTTCCCCAACTGGCGGTGGTTTTATTTGCCCTGTTTAGGTGTGTGTGTGTGACAGACACAGAGAAAAAGAAGTGTGTATGTTAGGATTAAGCACACTATTCTTTTGCTTGAGCTTCCACAGCCCCGCCCCTCCCCCCCCCCCTCTCCTCTCCTCTCCTCTCCTCTCCTCTCCTCTCCTCTCCTCTCCTCTTCCTCTCCTCTCCTCTCCTCTCCTCCCCCCCCCTCTCCCTCCTCTCCTCTCCTCCTCTCCTCTCCCCCCCCCCTCTCCTCTCCCTCTCCCCCCCCTCTCCTCTCCTCTCCTCTCCTCTCCTCTCCCTCCTCTCCTCCTCCCCCCCTCTCCTCCCCTCTCCCTCCTCTCCTCTCTCCCTCCTCTCCTCTCCTCGTCCTCTCCTCTCCTCTCCCTCCCCCCATCCCTCTCCCCCCCTCTCCCCCTCCTCTCCCCTCCCCTCTCCCCCTCTCCCTCCCCCCCCCTCTCCCTCCTCTCCCCCTCCCCCCTCTCCTCTCCTCTCCCCCCCCCTCCCCCCCTCCTCCCCTCCCCTCCCCCCTCCCCCCCCCCTCCTCTCCTCTCCTCTCCTCTCCCTCCTCTCCTCTCCTCTCCTCTCCTCTCCCTCCCTCCCCCTCTCCGCCTCTCCTCCCGTCCTCCCCCTCCTCCCCTCCCCCTCTCCTCTCCTCCCCCGTCCTCTCCTCTCTCTCCCTCCTCCCCCCTCCTCCCTCCTCTCACCCTCTCCTCCTCCCTCGCCCTCTCCTCCCGTCTCCTCCCCCTCCTCCCTCCCTCTCCTCTCCCCCTCCTCTCCTCTCGCCCCCCTCCCCTCTCTCCTCTCCCCCTCCACCTCCTCTTCCCCCTCCTCTCCCTCCCCCCCTCTTCCTCTCCTCCACTCCCTCCCTCCTCCCTCTCCTCTCCGCCTCTCCCCCCCCCCTCCTCCCTCTCCGTCTCCTCTCCCCCTCCCCCCTCTTCCCTCTCCTCCTCTCCCCTCTCCTCTCTCTCCTTCCTCCCCCCCCTCTCCTCCTCCTCTCCTCCTCTCTGCCCCCCTCTCCTCTCCTCTCCCCCCCTCTCCTCTCCCCTCCTTCCTCCCTCCTCTCCTCCCCTTCTCCTCTCCCTCCCCTCCCTCCTCCTCCTCTCCTCCTCTCCCCCTCCTATCCTCTCCTCCTCTCCCTCCCTCTCCTCCCCCTCCTCCTCCCTCTCCTCTCCCCCTCCTCTCCTCCCCTCCCCCTCCTCTCCTCGCCCTCCTCCCCCTCCCTCCCTCCCCCCCTCTCCTCTCCTCCCCTCTCCTCTCCTTCCTTCCCCCCCTCCCTCTCCCTCTCCACTCTCTCCTCTCCCTCTCCTGCTCCTCCCCCCCCCTCTCTCCTCTCCTCTCCCTCTCCTCTCCCTCTCCCTCTCCCTCTCCCTCTCCTCTCCCCCCCTCCTCTCCTCTCCTCCTCCCCTCCTCTCGCCTCTCCTCTTCCTCTCCCCCCTCCTCTCCCTCTCCTCTCCCTCTCCTCTCCCTCTCCTCTCCTCTCCTCCAGGATGTGTGCATGCCTGTGTGTGGTTAGATCTTTATGTTCACCCCAGTTCCTCTTGACCAGTTAATGGATCAGTATTTTAGGGGATCTGGTTCCTCAGGGGGGTGGAGGTGTAAATATAACCAGAGACCTTACTGCCAAGTTTCCACGTCATTTAACCCCCCCCCCAAAAAAATGTATGTGATATCGTTTAATCAATGTAGAAAACTGATTGGATTTGGAAAAAGTAATCAACGTAAGCGCATTTAGTATTTTCTTTATCCAACTTTTAACCTAAATCCAATGACATGGTGACATAAAAACCTGAAGTAAATCAAAACTAGATGTTGAACTGACGTCTGTGCCCAATGTGGAATAAATCAACAGGGTTTGAGATTACACCAATGATACCCATGACACACACACACACACACACACACACCACACTCTAGTAGGACTGTGATGATACCAGTATTACAATATTTTCCCCAACACTTTGGGCTTTTAAAACCTGCTGTATGTAAAATAGTGTTTGCTATAACTTGGAAAATAAATAAATGTGACTCTGGATGACAACATAATGATGTTTGTTTCCAACATAAGGGCTGTTTTCCTAAAGAAGTTAAGTCTGCTTCATGTTTTGTTTCCTTGCCACAATACTAACATGTATCGCGATACTGGTATCGTCCCGGCCCTACACACTCGTACTGGTATCGTCCCAGCCCTACACACTCGTGCTGGTATCGTCCCAGCCCTACACACTCGTACTGGTATCGTCCCAGCCCTACACACTCGTACTGGTATCGTCCCAGCCCTACACACTCGTACTGGTATCGTCCCAGCCCTACACACTCGTACTGGTATCGTCCCAGCCCTACACACTCGTACTGGTATCGTCCCAGCCCTACACACTCGTGCTGGTATCGTCCCAGCCCTACACACTTGTACTGGTATCGTCCCAGCCCTACACACTCGTACTGGTATCGTCCCAGCCCTACACACTCGTGCTGGTATCGTCCCAGCCCTACACACTCGTACTGGTATCGTCCCAGCCCTACACACTCGTACTGGTATCGTCCCGGCCCTACACACTCGTACTGGTATCGTCCCAGCCCTACACACTCGTACTGGTATCGTCCCAGCCCTACACACTCATGTGACAAGTAGTAAGACTTGTTAATGCTCTCCTCAAGCTGTGGCACAGTGTCCCTTAAACAGAGGGCATTCTGGGCCACCAACGCACGCTCTATGTGTGTAATGTGTGTTAGTGTTTGTGTGTACGTTTTTAGTGCACTCTTAAAAAAAAAGGTGCTATCAAGAACCTAAAAGGGTTCTTCACCTGTCCCCATAGGAGAACCTTTGAAGAACCCTTATTGATTTTAGGTAGAACCCTTTTGGTTACAAGTATAACTGTTTTGGTTTCCATTTAGAACCCTTTGCACAGAGGGTTCGACCTGGAACCAAAAAGGGTACTCCTATGGGGGACAGTCGAATAACTTTTTCGAAATCCTTTTTTCTAAGAGTGTTTGTGTGTCCCCGCAAGGTCCAAGCCTGAAGGATAAAAGCAGCTTTCTATCACTACATTTCCAACCCTGGAAAACTCCTTTTCACCTTCTCCTCCCTCCTTAATCCTCCACCTCATCCTCCTCCCTCTCTGCGGATGACATTGTCAACCACTTTGAAAAGAAGGTTGACGACATCCACTCCTCATTCACTCAGCCTATTGAGTCCACTGGTCCCACTCACACAGAACTACCCTACGCCTTGACCTCTTCTCCAGATGAAATCCTGCGACTAGTGAGGTCCGGCCGCCTTACAACCTGCCCACTTGACCCCATCCCCTCCTCCCTCCTCCAGACCATCTCTGGAGACATTCTACCGTTCCTCACTACCCTCATTAACTCATCCCTGACCAGTGGCTGCGTCCGCTCTCATTTCAAGATGGACAGTCGGTCCCCTTCTTAAGAAACCAACACTCGACTCATCTGACGTCAAACTATAGACCTGTATCCATTCTTTCTTTTCTTTTCAAAACACGTGAGCGTGCTGTTTCTGATCAACTCTCTCATTATCTCTCTCATTATCTCTCTCATTATCTCTCTCATTATCTCTCTCATTATCTCTCTCATTATCTCTCTCAGAACGATAACCAGTCAGGCTCCAAGATGGGCCACTCAACCGAGACGGTTCTTCTCTGTGTCATGGAGGCTCTCCGCACTGCCAAAGCTGACGCTCTCTCTATCCACTGCCTTCAACACCATGAACTATCAGATCCTCCTCTCCACCCTCTCAGGGTATTGGGTATTTTATTAGGATCCCCAGCAGCTGTTGCGAAAGCCGCTGCTGCTACTCTTCCTGGGGTCCACACAGAACATGAAACATGACATAATACAGAATATTAATAGACAAGAATTTAAAAACGCCACACGTAGCCTACATATCAATACATACACACAACATATCTAGGTCAGATAGGGGAGAGGCGTTGTGCCGTGAGGTGTTGCTTTATCTGTTTTTTGAAACCAGGTTTGACTGTTTATTTGAGCAAAATGAGATGGAACAGAGTTACATGCAATCATGCCTCTATATAATACTGTACGCTTTCTTGAATTTGTTCTGGATTCAGTGACTATGAAAAGACCCCTGATGGCATGTCTAGTGGGTAAGTGTGGTGGGCGTCTCAGGCTCTGCACACTCCTGGATTGCATCCTACCTGGCAGGTCGCTCCGACCAGGTGGCGTGGAGAGGATCTGTGTCTGCACCACGTGCTCTCACTTACTACGACTGTGATATGTGGTTGTCTCACCTAGCTTTCTTAAGATTAATGCACTAACTAAGTTGCTCTGGATAAGAGCGTCTGCTAAATGACAAATGCAAACATGAGAGAGAGAGAGAGAGAGAGAGAGAGAGAGAGAGAGAGAGAGAGACAGACAGAGAGACAGAGAGAGAGACAGAGAGAGAGAGACAGAGAGAGAGAGACAGAGAGAGAGAGACAGAGAGAGAGAGACAGAGAGAGAGAGAGACAGAGAGAGAGAGAGAGCTTTGCTAATGACTGGCTTATAGAAAATAATAGGTTGATGCTCAGCTAAGGCTAGCGCTGTGGAATACTAAAGCACACCTACTATAAAAAACAGGGGCCTATACAGGCTCTCAGTGCTGGCTTGATGTGTTCTGCCCCACTGCACTGGAGAAGGGTTAACAAGGTAGGGTGAAAACACTCAGTCATCTGGTTGCAGTACCTTCAAAAGGAAAGACAAACCAGCACACTGCTCTAACTAGTAGCTCTTATTGTATTCAAGCTTACTAGCGGACCTCTTGGCTTTCGTCAGAGGCTTTTTAGTGGCAACAAGTCAGCCATACAGTAGTTATTTACTGCATGTATCTATATACGCTACCGTTCAAAAGTTTGGGGTCACTTGGGAATTCTTGTTTTTGAAAGAAAAGCACTTTTTCTGTCCATTAAAATAACATCAAATTGATCAGAAATACAGTGTAGACATTGTTAATGATGCATTGTTAATGTTGTAAATGGCTATTGTAGCTGTAAACGGCTGACTTTTTTAATGGAATATCTACATAGGCGTACAGAGGCCCATTATCAGCAACCATCAGTCCTGTGTTCCAATGTCACGTTGTGTTTGCTAATCCAAGTTTATCATTTTAAAAAGGCTAATTGAAAATTAGAAAACCCTTTTGCAATTATGTTAGCACAGCTAAAGAAGCGATAAAACTGGCCTTCTTGAGACTAGTTGAGTATCTGGAGCATCAGCAATTGTGGGTTCGATTACAGGCTCAAAATGGGCAGAAACAAATAACTTTCTTCTGAAACTCGTCAGTCTATTCTTGTTCTGAGAAATGAAGGCTATTCCATGCGAGAAATTGCCAAGAAACTGAAGATCTCGTACAACACTGTGTACTACTCCCTTTACAGAACAGCGCAAACTGGCTCTAACCAGAATAGAAAGAGGAGTGGGAGGCCCCGGTGCACAACTGAGCAAGAGGACAAATACATTAGAGTGTCTAGTCTCAACGTCAATAGTGAAGAGGCGACTCCGGGATGCTGACCTTCTAGGCAGAGTTGCAAAGAAAAAGCCATATCTCAGAGTGGCCAATAAAAAGAAAAGATTAAGATGGTAAAAAGAACACAGACACTGGACAGAGGAAGATTTTTAAAAAAGTGTTAAAGTGGGAGATTTGTACAGGGTAAAAGGGATCTTGAAGAAGGAAGGCTATCACTCCATTTTGCAACGCCATGCCATACCCTGTGGACGGCGCTTGATTGGAGCCAATTTTCTCAAAGCACTGCTCCAAACTATGCAAGAACTATTTAGGGAAGAAGCAGTCAGCTGGTATTCTGTCTATAATGGAGTGGCCAGCACAGTCACCGGATCTCAACCCTATTGAGCTGTTGTGGGAGCAGCTTGACCGTATGGTACGTAAGAAGTGCCCATCAAGCCAATCCAACTTGTGGGAGGTGCTTCAGGAAGCATGGGGTGAAATCTCTTCAGAGTACCTCAACAAATTGACAACTAGAATGCCAGAGGTCTGCAAAGCTGTAATTGCAGCAAATGGAGGATTATTTGACGAAAGCAAAGTTTGAAGGACACAATTATTATTTATATAAAAAATCATTATTTCTAACCTTGTCAATGACTACATTTCCTATGCATTTTGCTATATTTTCTATTAAAACTCATTTCATGTATGTTTTCATGGGGAAAAAAATGACATTTCTAAGTGACCCCAAACTTTTGTTTGTAGATAAGTCAGTCATATACCTTGTAGGCTATGTATTTTATAAAAGTTCTTACTTTCGCCACTAGGGATAGTCACCCGATTTCTTGGGGTCTTTACTTCCAACGTTTTTGAACTTGTTGCTCTTGCAGGCGAACCCCCTCAGGTTTTCCACTGAAGGCAGTTCTTGCTGGTGATAAAAAACGGTTGATTGCATATTTTTTTGAGTCATTACTGAATTATTGATTGTAACAAATCAAACATTAAAAATGCTGTTATTAAAAAGGTAAAGTAAAAATCCAAACTAGTCCATGAATTACTACCTGTATAGTTTGTTTACCGTTTTCCGTCCAGCCAGTGTATTCTGTGCATATGACAAATAGACTTGACTTTTGTGATGTGAATAGCTACCTAGCTAATGCTACCTAGCTAATGCTACCTAGCTAACGTTAGGCCTACTCATGTGCATAAATAGTTTAACATTTTCCATCAATAAAAATTGAATTTAACTCGTTGGTTTTTAAATGGTTCTGAATGTATAATGTGAATGTTTGAAAAAGTAGTATTGTATAGCCTAATGTTACTAGCTCCTTGCAGGGAAGCAAATGTGTGTGTGTCCCCAGTTTGTCCAGTATGGACCACCATAGTTTGGCGAGTGGATGTTTGATTGTAACAACACAAGAGTAATGGTATATTTTGTAAACAAGCCTAAAGAATGTTTTAGTGTTGACTACTGCAACTGGGGTAGCAAATTAGCAATAATATTAGCTAACATTTTCCAGCTAGCAATTCTATCACCTAGTACGCATGCCATGACACATTCCTCACTGCAAGGTTTTCTGGGATTTATGAGGTGGGAGAGTGAGTATTGTAGGTTTGCAAGAGTTTAAATCCGATGGGGAAGAGTGATTGGGAGTTTTCACACAACAGTGTGTGTTTCCTGCAGTACAAGTTGTCAGGAAACCTGAGAGACGCTGTTCGTTTCCTGGTAGTTTTCGTGAATAATCAACCCGATCACACTGGGTTTCCAGACCCGTTCACGTCGTCTGAACACCAACCTGTTAGTTTCCCAACGTCACGTAGGGTGTGCCAAAGCCGTGTATGTGTGACATGCCATTGATAACTCCCAAAAACGGTTAGTTTGCGGGAAAGTGATCTGGAATTTTCAACCCAGAAACGTGTATTTTCATGCAGTGTTAAGGGTGTCTATAGACATGTACTATAAAGCTTTGCCCATTTCCCTTATGGGCAGGGTTCAGCGGCCTCACTGACAACAACCTTAACAACATAACACAGCGTGAAATGGCACCCTATCCACTACATAGTGAACTACCATAGGGCATTGGTGAAACGTAGTGCACTAGGACTATTTGGTGAAACAGGTTCCATTTTGTATGCAGCCAGTCACAGATACATGTACTGTATGTATCTAACTGCCAGAATAAAGGAAACACCAACATAAAGTGTCTTAATAGAGAGAGTTGGGTCACCACGAGCCAGAACAGCTTCAATGCACCTTGGCATAGATTCTACAAGTGTCTGGAACTCTATTGGAGGGATGCGACACCATTCTTCTTCCACGAGATCTGGTGACTGACACACACACACACACACACACACACACACACACACACACACACACACACACACACACACACACACACACACACTTTAAACCCCCTATGCTCATTTGAGACCCCTCTTTCAAAGTCACTGAGATCTCTTCTTCTAGCCATGGTAGCCAAATTAATGGGCAATTGGGCATTTTTATGCATAACCCTAAGCATGATGGGATGTTAATTGCTTAATTAACTGTGTGGAAGCACCTGCTTTCAATATACTTTGTATCCCTCATTTACTCAAGTCTTTCCTTTATTTTGGCAGTTAACTGTACATGGCTGTATAGGAGAACCCAATACTAGCATCAAAGCCAAACAGTGACGACTGGAAGGTAGATGTAACCTTATGTATTAGACGTGTCAACAACACAGAGCTTAGTTAGTGTAGCCTACATGTAGCCTATTCTCTCTCTCGTCCTGATCCCTCCCTTTTGTCTCTGTCTGCAACATACGCTCTCTCGCTCTCAATTCAATTCAATTCAATTCAATTAAATGGGCTTTATTGGCATGGGACACATGTTTACATTGCCAAAGCAAGTGAAATAAACAATAAAGCGAAAGTGAAATAAACAATAAACAAAAGTGAGAAGATGCAAGACAACATCAACAAAAAACGATTCGAATTTAACAGTCATTATAAACTGGGTGGTTCGAGCCCTGAATGCTGATTGGCTGAAAGCCGTGGTATATCAGACAGTATTCCACAGGTATGACAAAACATTTATTTTTACTGCTCTAATTACGTAACCAGTTTATAATAGCAACGGCTAAGGGCTCCGTGTTGCGTCGTGCTCAAGAACAGCCCTTAGCCGTGGTATATATACTTACCACACCACTTCGTGCCTTATTGCTTAAATATACATTTACATTTTACATTTACGTCATTTAGCAGACGCTCTTATCCAGAGCGACTTACAAATAGGTGCATTCACCTTATAGCCAGTGGGATAACCACTTTACAATATACCATGGCATTGTTGAATACTTGTTCTCTCATTGGCTTGAAGGGCATTCTAGAGAATGCATTATTTCCCTTTTAACGCACGGTTTATTTGCACGGAAGAATTCAACGGCTATAGTTAATTCTTACATGTTCTATGTTTGAGTGGCTTTTGAAAGCAAAAGTCGAATTGAAAACATTACTGGCATTGTTGAATTCGATTTTCATAATGACAAGCTGGACTGATGATTTGGTTAGCTAAACCTAAAATGCTAAACCTAAAATCTTTATAAACTAAACCAATACAGACCACAGCCTGTGGATTCCAATGGAAACAAATTAGTCATAGTGGGCAGAACAAGCAAGGAGCTAGCGAGATCCTATTGGCCCGTTCTAGCATGTATTTGCATATTTCCGTTAGGGAACGCCTACTCTGAAGTGCGCATATGCAATAACTCAATTCGCCCTTGCACTCCTTTCTAAACAACGCAATTGTCTGAAGCATTGGCAAATGGTGAAGTCTACAAAAAAAAAAACTTTAAAAAAAACTTGGCCCACTCTGTTCGTAAGAGACATAGTTTTGGGAACAGAAAACTGTATTGAGATCAACTGTTTCATCGATGAGAACATTTGCTGAATGTCGGCCAAAACCTCATTCATCTTCTCCCACTGCCGGCCACTGGGCTTCCTCTCACCATATTTGGTAGTGAGTGGAAACGCTTCACATGTATACATCCGGTGAAACATCTAGCTCATTGTTCTGTTTGTTTAGTTACCACAGCAACTACAGTAGCTATCTAATAACTTGCTAGCTACTTCAGTGAATGTTGAACACATTTTTAGTGGCAAATGTGTTCAATTCCAGCCATGGTATAAATGGGATTATCAACTCAGGGCTCTGTGAGTTCTTTGGAAAATAATGCAACGCACCTTCCAAGTCGTTCATTATTGTCCATAGAACGCATTGCCCCTAGTTGATTAGCCCTTACATATTGCACTCAAAAAGGTTTAAAAAAAGATAGACATTTCAAGTGTTATATTTTCAGCTATGTACAGGTATTTATAGTGTACAGCGTTTTAGCAATGTGCAAACAGTTGTAGTACGAATAGTAGGGGACAGTGTGTGAAAGCCTCCCTCTCTCTCTCTCGGCACTGTATGTTAATGAACACAAACCACAGACATAAAGGACTGAGGAGTGTGTGTGTGTGTGTGTGTGTGTGTGTGTATGTATGTGTGTGTGTGTATGTATGTATGTCCTAACAGATTATTGTTTTGTTGAGTCAAAGCAATGGGGCATGTTAGAACCAGCTTGTGGAGAGTTAACTTTGGTAGTGTGGGATTTTTATTTTATGTATACTAGTCACTAGCCTTGTTCCATAGTGTGTGTGTGTGTGTGTGTGTCATTTCAGAGCTATTTAAAAATAGTGAAGGAGGAAGCTGTTTTCCAACAAGATCTCATAGTTTCCCTTTGAAATTTGCCGTATTATGGATGAACGTCCATTTTTGATGCATTAATTCCACGTGGTTACAGGGTAAATTCTGCATGGTTACAGGGTTAAAACAGACACAACCCAAAGGGTTACATTTAGGTATTCATTCTGAGTGGTTAAGGTTAGGCTATGGTTTGGGATTTTTTTTTTTTTATAGGATCCCCATTAGCCGACACCAATGGTGACAGCTAGTCTTACTGGGGTCTGACACCAATGGTGACAGCTAGTCTTACTGGGGTCTGACACCAATGGTGACAGCTAGTCTTACTGGGGTCTGACACCAATGGTCACAGCTTGTCTTACTGGGGTCTGACAAATAACCAAAAATACATTACAGACAAAATACTTTACAATTGACATAGATTTAAAAACATGAACATGTGTGTGCATCTATCAGATATATACACATGTCAGTACATACACACAACAAGTAGGTCACATGGGGGAGAGGCCGGGTGCCGTGAGGTGTTGCTTTATTTGTTTTATGAAACCAGGTTGGCTGTTCACTTGAGCTATATAAGATGGAAGGGAGTTCCATGCACTCATTGCTCTGTAAAATAATTTTCCTTGAACTTGTTATGGACCTGGGGACTGTGAAAAGACCCCTTGTGGCATGTCTGGTGAGGTCAGTGCTGTGTGCAAGTTGACTATGCAAGCAATTTGGAATTTCCAACACATGAATGTTTCTTACAAAACAAGAAGCGATGCAGTCAGTCTTTCCTCAAATCTTAGCCAAGAGAGACTGGCATGCAAAGTATTGATATTAGCCCTCTGATTACAATGAAGAGCAAGACGTGCTGCTCTGTTCTGGGCCTGCTGCATCTTAACTAGGTCCTTCTTTTCAGCACTCGACCATTTGACTGATCAATAATCAAGATAAGATCAAACTAGAGCCTGCAGGACTTGCTTTGTGGAGTGTTGTGTCAAAAAAGCTGAGCATCTCTTTATCACGGACAGACCTTTGGGAAAGGCTTAAAAGGAAAGGTTGCACGATATATATATTCCACAAATCTAACAGATTGATTATATTCCATCTAAAATGATCTTTATGGAAAAGTTTATGCAAAAATAATTACACACTTCTATTTTCGCAATTTGAATTACATTTACCAAAAACTCATACACCAACAATACATTGCGGCTTTAACATCAAGAAAGGACCGGCCTGCTGGTGGCTTCGGTGATGGTGGCCAATCAGGTAAGTAGGTACTAAAGTGCCCAATGAGTTGTGTCATGTTATGTTGCTAGTTAATGATAGAAAACGAAGATAGCCGGCTATCTAAGTACACCGGACCATGCAAAACGAACTGGCCCTCTCTGATATAGCATGGTGTTTGGGGAAGGAATAAGCGAGCTACCTAGCTAGCAAGCTACAACAACTATCAACACTGCACGTTTTGCAGAATTGAAATGGTCAAATACCAATAGGATTAATGATTGTTTATTTCAAGGTCTGTCTTTTTGCTGAACTGCCTGATCTTTACCGGCCGATATAGCTTGCAGGATATCATGGTAGCCAATGTTTGTGTTAGCCAATATACCTGGATTTAATGTTACTGCTGCTAGTAACATTAGTAACGTTAGCACGCAGGTTAGCATGTGGATAGCTATAGCTACCATCGGCCAACAACAGTTTGAGCCAGTTTGGTTTTAGACGTTCAATGTCTACTATGATGGTAAAGGTTTATCTTCATTTTGTGTAACAGTACGAGAAATGCTGATGCGCTGAACTGCTAATAAGTGATGTGTTTCAAGGCTGCAAGTGGTTAGCTAGTACGGGTAATCCAGCAGGGGTGGAAAAGGGGCTATGCTAAAAACCTGTGCGCTGTATAAGTGATAAAACATTTTGGCTGATACAGAATAAAGAAATCACAGGATATGGTCAGATGATTAGTTGGCAAATATATTTTCAAAAACAATGAAGACTCGGTATGATGTGGGTCTTCACCGGCTTATGTGGACAGTGGGGAAGAGGAACGGGATCTAGTCAGTCACAACTGAATGCATTCAACCGAAATGTGTCTTCCGCATTTAACCCAACCCCTCTGAAATCAGAGAGGTGCAGGTGGCTGCCTTAAAAATCGACCTCCACGCTGTGTATTCACTCGTGTGTTCTTCTGACGTTACTTTTCCGAACGCTTTTCCGACATGACTTCGGTCAAATTGTGATAAAATATACATTTCTCCCAAAATACAAATATAAAGTGATATGTCGTATTGGGACTTTTAGTTTGAAGGATGAAACCAATCAGAACGTTTAAGAGCAACCTAATTCTGCAATATTCCCTTCAAAACAAAATAATTAAAAAACAATGTGCTGTTTCCATCAACTATCATCAAGTATTCTCACGGCTTGCTAGAGCATTGTGAACTGTTCTGGCGCAGTGGTCTAAACTGTGCGTTCCACCTCCGAGCATCACGAGTTCGTGCCCAGTGCTGGGCAGTTGGTTCTTTTTTTGTGTGAGCACCGAGTATACGCTACATGACCAAAAATCATGGGCAGTAATATGGAGTTGGTCCCTCCTTTGCTGCTATAACAGCCTCCACTCTTCTGGGAAGGCTTTCCTCTAGATGTTGGAACATTTCTGCAGGGACTTGCTTCCATTCAGCCACAAGAGCATTAGTGAGGTTGGGCACTGATGTTGGGCGATTAGACCTGGCTCGCAGTTGGTTGTTCCAAATCATTCCAAAGGTCTTCGATGGGGTTGAGGTCAGGGCTCTGTGCAGGCCAGTCAAGTTCTTCCACACCGATCTCGACAAACCACTTTTGTATGGACCTCGCTTTGTGCACTGGGGCATTGTCATGCTGAAACAGGAAAGGGCCTTCCCCAAACTGTTGCCACAAAGTTGGAAGCACAGATTCATCTAGAATGTAATTGTATGCTGTAGCGTTAAGATTTCCCTTCACTGGAACTAAGGGGCCTAGCCCGAACCATGAAAAACAGCCCCTGACCATTATTCCTCCTCCACCAAACTTTACAGTTGGCACTATGCATTGGGGCAGGTAGCATTCTCCTGGCATTCGCCAAACCCAGATTCGTCTGTCGGACTGCCAGATGGTCAAGCGTGATTCATCACTCCAGAGAACGTATTTCCACTGCTCCAGAGTCCAATGGCGGCAAGGTTTACACTACTCCAACCGACGCTTGGCATTGCGCATGGTGATCTTAGGCTTGTGTGCAGCTGCTCGGCCATGGAAACCCATTTCATGAAGCTCCCGACAAACAGTTATTGTGCTGATGTTGCTTCCAGAGGCAGTTTGGAACTCGGTAGTGAGTGTTGCAACCGAGGACAGACGATTTTTACACGCTATGCGCTTCAGCACTCGGCGATCCCATTCTGTGAGCTTGTGTGGTCTACCACTTTGCGGCTGAGCGGTAGTTGCTCCTAGACGTTTCCACTTCACAATAACAGCACTTAAAGTTGACCGGGGCAGCTATAGCAGGGCAGAAATTTGATGAACTGACTTGTTGGAAAGGTGGCATCCTATGACGGTGCCACGTTGAAAGTCACTGAGCTCTTCAGTAAGGCCATTCTACTGCCAATGTTTGTCAATGGAGAGTGCATGGTTGTGTGCTCGATTCTATACACCTGTCAGCAACAACAGGTTTGGCTGAAATAGCCAAATCCACTAATTTGAAGAGGTGTCCACATACTTTGTATATATAGTGTATATCGACGTTCTCGGGACCTTCTCAAACGTTCGAAATCTCTGTCTATTTCTAGTGATCAGGCTGGTCATTCACCGCCGAGGACAATGCCCACTGGTTTTAACATGATGAAAAAGACAGAAAGAGAGAGAGAAAGCGAAGGAGAGATGGAAATTGAGAGAGTGGGAGAGAGAGCGAGAAGGAGAGAGATAGAGAGTGAGAGAGAGAGAAAAGATACAAAAGGAAAGAAGGGCCGCCTTATTCCATCAAAATTCGACATACCAATTAGGATGATATACTTGAATCAGTTATGGAACCCATTGCCCGGTCCGCTGACCAACCAAGAATTCACAAAATGTGACCAACAGCAAATTCAGACTCTGCATGCAGAATTCTGCAAAAAATATCCTCAGTGTACAACGTAAAACACCAAATAATGCATGCAGAGCAGAATTAGGCCGATACCTGCTAATTATCAAAATCCAGAAATAGCCATTAAATTCTACAACCACCTAAAAGGAAGCGATTCCCAAACCTTCCCTTAGAAAGCCATCGCCTACAGAGACATGAACTTGGAGAAGGGTCCCCTAAGCAAGCTGTTCCTGGGGCTCTGTTCACAAACACAAACATAGCCCCAGGACAGCAACACAATTAGACCCAACCAAATCATGAGAAAACACAAAGATAATTCAAATCAAATTTTATTTGTCACATACGCGTGTTTAGCAGATGTCATTGCGGGTGTAGCGAAATGCTTGTGCTTCTAGCTCCGACAGTGCAGTAATATCTAACAAGTAATTTCTAACAATTTCACAACATATACCCAATACACACAAATCTAGTAAGGAATGGAATTTAAGAATACATATATGGACACGCAATGACAGAGCGGCATGGACTAAGATACAGTAGAATATTATAGAATACAATACAGTATATACACATGAGATGAGTAGTGCAAGATATGTAAACATTATTAAAGTGACTAGTGTTCCATTTCTTAAAGTGGCCAGTGATTTCAATAGGCAGCAGCAGCCTCTAATGTGCTAGTGATGGCTATTTAACAGTCTGATGGCCTTGAGATAGAAACTGTTTTTCATTCTCTCGGTCCCAGCTTTGATGCACCTGTACTGACCTCGCCTTCTGGATGATAGCGGGGTGAACAGGCAGTGGCTCGGGTGGTTGATGTCCTTGATGATCTTTTTGGCCTTTCTGTGACATCGGGTGCTGTAGGTGTCTTGGAGGGCGGGTAGTTTGCCCCCGGTAATGCGTTTGGCAGACCGCACCACCCTCTGGAGAGCCCTGCGGTTGCGGGCGGTGCAGTTGCCGTACCAGGCGGTGATACAGCACGACAGGATGCTCTCAATTGTGCATCTGTAAAAGTTTGAGGGTTTTAGGTGCCAAGCCAAATTTCTTCAGCCTCCTGAGGTTGAAGAGGCTCTGTTGCGCCTTCTTCACCACACTGTCTGTGTGGGTGGACCATTTCAGTTTGTCAGTGATGTGTACGCCAAGGAACTTCAAGCTTTCCACCTTCTCCACTGCGGTCCCGTCGATGTGGATAGGGGGGGTGCACCCTCTGCTTTTTCCTGAAGTCCACGATCATCTCCTTTGTTTTGTTGACGTTGAGTGAGAGGTTATTTTCCTGGCAATACATTCACAGAGCCCTCACCTCCTCCCTGTAGGCGGTCTCGTCATTGTTGGTAATCAAGCCTCCTACTGTTGTGTCGTCTGCAAACTTGATGATTGAGTTGGAGACGGGCTTGGCCACGCAGTCATGGGTGAACAGGGAGTACAGGAGGGGGCTGAGCACGCACCCTTGTGGGGCCCCAGTGTTGAGGATCAGCTTAGTGGAGATGTTGTTTCCTACCCTCACCACCTGGGGGCGGCCCGTCAGGAAATCCAGGACCCAGTTGCACAGGGCGGGGTTCAGACCCAGGGCCTTGTGCTTAATGATGAGCTTGGAGGGTACTATGGTGTTGAATGCTGAGCTATAGTAAATCAACAGCATTCTTACATAGGTATTCCTCTTGTCCAGATGGGATAGGGCAGTCAGTGTGCAGTGTGATGGCGATCCATCGTCTGTGGATCTATTGGGGCGGTAAGCAATTTGAAGTGGGTCTAGGGTGACAGGTAAGGTAGATATGATCCTTGACTAGTCTCTCAAAGCACTTCATGATGACAGAGGTGAGTGCTATGGGGCAATAGTCATTTAGTTTAGTTACCTTTGCTTTCTTGGGTACAGGAACAATGGTGGCCATCTTGAAGCATGTGGGAACAGCAGACTGGGAAAGTGAGAGATTGAATATGTCCGTAAACACACCAGCCAGCTGGTCTGCGCATGCTCTGAGGGCTAGGGACGCCGTCTGGGCCGGCAGCCTTGAGAGGCCACAGTCCTTGGTAGTGGGCCTCGTCGGTGGCACTGTGTTATCCTCAAAGCGGGCGAAGAAAGTGTTTAGCTTGTCTGGAAGCGAGACGCCGTGTCGGCGTCGTGGCTGGTTTACCTTTTGTAGTCCAAGATTGTCTGTAGACCCTGCCACATATGTCTCGTGTCTGAGCCATTGAATTGCGGCTCCACTTTGTCTCTATACTGATTTTTTGCCAGTTTAATTGCCTTGCGGAGTGAGTAGCTACACTTGTTTGTATTCTGCCATATTCCCAGTCACCTTGCCATGGTTAAATGCGGTGGTTCGCGCTTTCAGTTTTGCGCGAATGCTGCCATCTATCCACGGTTTCTGGTTAGGGTAGGTTTTATAATAATAATATAATATAATATGCCATTTAGCAGACGCTTTTATCCAAAGCGACTTACAGTCATGCGTGCATAATTTATTTAATTTTTTTGTGTATGGGTGGTTTTAATAGTCACAGTGGGCACAACATCACCTATACACTTCCTGATAAACTCAATCACCGTTTCAGTGTATTCGTCTAAATTATTTTCGCAAGCTACCCGGAACATATCCCAGCCCGCGTGATCAAAACAACCTTGAAGCGTGGATTCCGATTGGTCAGACCAGCGTTGAATAGTCCTTAGCACGGGTACTTCCTGTTTGAGTTTCTGCCTATAAGAAGGGAGGAGCAAAATGGAGTCGTGGTCAGATTTGCCGAAAGGAGGGTGGGGGAGGGCCTTATAACCATCCCGGAAGTTCGAATAGCAATGGTCGAGGATTTTAGCAGCGCAAGTACATCAGTCGATATGTTGATAGAACTTCGGCAGCCTAGTCCTCATATTTGCTTTGTTAAACTCCCTGGCTACAATAAATGCAGCCTCAGGATATGTGGTTTCCAGTTTGCATGAAGTCCAGTGAAGTTAAGGTATGGGTGGTCCTCTGTAGCTCAGCTGGTAGAGCACGGCGCTTGTAACGCAAAGGTAGTGGGTTCGATCCCCGGGACCACCCATACACAAAAATGTATGCACGCATGACTGTAAGTCGCTTTGGATAAAAGCGTCTGTTAAATGGCATATTATTATTATTATTAAGTTATTGGAAGGCCGTCGTGGTATCGGCTTGAGGGGGGATATACATGGCCGTGACTATAACCAACGAAAATTCTCTTGGGAGATAATACGGTCGGCATTTGATTGTGAGGTATTCTAGGTCAGGTGAACAAAAGGACTTGAGTTCCTGTATGTTACTACAATTACACCATGAGTCGTTAATCATGAAACACACACACCTCCGCCCTTCTGCTTCCCGGAGAGATATTTATTCCTGTCTGCGCAATGAACTGAGAACCCATCTGGCTGGACCGATTTCGTCAGAATATCCCCAGAGAGCCATGTTTCCGTGAAACAAAGTATGTTACAGGCCTTGATGTCACTCTGGAAATAAATATTTGCCCGGAGCTCGTCGACCTTGATCACCAGAGACTGAACATTAGCGAGTAGTATCCTTGGAAGCGGAGGGTGGTGTGCACGCCTCCTAAATCGAACCAGCAGGCCGCTCCGAGTGCCTCTCCTCCGCCGGCGATGTTTTGGGTCAGCCGCTGGAATCAGTTCAGTTGCTCTGGGGAGAGCAAACAAAGGATCTGCTTCGGGAAAGTCGTATTCCTGGTCGTAATACTGGAGAGTTACCGTCGCTCTGATATCCAATAGTTTTTCCCGGCTGTATGTAATGATACAAAACACTTTCTGAGCTAATAATGTACAAAATTATACATAATTTTTTAAAAATAATAATACTTCACACATTGGAAAGAATTAACAACAAAAATGGAGCAAACTAGAATGTATTTGGCCCTAAACAGAGAGTGCACAGTTGGCAGAATACCTGACCACTGTGACTGACCCAAACTTAAGGAAAGCTTTTACTATGTACAGACTCAGTGAGCATAGCTTTGCTATTGAGAGAGCCCATCTTCTCTTGAGAGGCAGATCTGCCTACGGCGGCCTATGTGCACACTGCCCACAAAATGAGGTGGAATCTGAGCTGCACTTCCTAACCTCCTGCCAAATGTATGACCATATTAGAGACACATACAGTGGGGAAAAAAAGTATTTAGTCAGCCACCAATTGTGCAATTTCTCCCACTTAAAAAGATGAGAGAGGCCTGTAATTTTCATCATAGGTACACGTCAACTATGACAGACAAATTGAGAAAAAAAAATCTAGAAAATCACATTGTAGGATTTTTAATGAATTTATTTGCAAATTATGGTGGAAAATAAGTATTTGGTCACCTACAAACAAGCAAGATTTCTGGCTCTCACAGACCTGTAACTTCTTCTTTAAGAGGCTCCTCTGTCCTCCATTCGTTACCTGTATTAATGGCACCTGTTTGAACTTGTTATCAGTATAAAAGACACCTGTCCACAACCTCAAACAGTCACACTCCAAACTCCACTATGGCCAAGACCAAAGAGCTGTCAACGGACACCAGAAACAAAATTGTAGACCTGCACCAGGCTGGGAAGACTGAATCTGCAATAGGTAAGCAGCTTGGTTTGAAGAAATCAACTGTGGGAGCAATTATTAGGAAATGGAAGACATACAAGACCACTGATAATCTCCCTCGATCTGGGGCTCCACGCAAGATCTCACCCCGTGGGGTCAAAATGATCACAAGAACGGTGAGCAAAAATCCCAGAACCACACGGGGGGACCTAGTGAATGACCTGCAGAGAGCTGGGACCAAAGTAACAAAGCCTACCATCAGTAACACACTACGCCGCCAGGGACTCAAATCCTGCAGTGCGAGACGTGTCCCCCTGCTTAAGCCAGTTCATGTCCAGGCCCGTCTGAAGTTTGCTAGAGTGCATTTGGATGATCCAGAAGAGGATTGGGAGAATGTCATATGGTCAGATGAATCCAAAATATAACTTTTTGGTAAAAACTCAACTCGTCGTGTTTGGAGGACAAAGAATGCTTAGTTGCATCCAAAGAACACCATACCTACTGTGAAGCATGGGGGTGGAAACATCATGCTTTGGGGCTGTTTTTCTGCAAAGGGACCAGGACGACTGATCCGTGTAAAGGAAAGAATGAATGGGGCCATGTATCGTGAGATTTTGAGTGAAAACCTCCTTCCATCAGCAAGGGCATTGAAGATGAAACGTGGCTGGGTCTTTCAGCATGAAAATGATCCCAAACACACCGCCCGGGCAACGAAGGAGTGGCTTCGTAAGAAGCATTTCAAGGTCCTGGAGTGGCCTAGCCAGTCTCCAGATCTCAACCCCATAGAAAATCTTTGGAGGGAGTTGAAAGTCCGTGTTGCCCAGTGACAGCCCCAAAACATCACTGCTCTAGAGGAGATCTGCATGGAGGAATGGGCCAAAATACCAGCAACAGTCTGTGAAAACCTTGTGAAGACTTACAGAAAACGTTTGACCTGTGTCATTGCCAACAAAGGGTATATAACAAAGTATTGAGAAACTTTAGTTATTGACCAAATACTTATTTTCCACCATAATTTGCAAATAAATTCATTAAAAATCCTACAATGTGATTTTCTAGATTTTTTTTCCTCAATTTGTCTGTCATAGTTGACGTGTACCTATGATGAAAATTACAGGCCTCTCTCATCTTTTTAAGTGGGAGAACTTTCATAATTGGTGGCTGACTAAATACTTTTTTTCCCCACTGTATTTCCCTCATTACACAGATCTAACAAAGAATTTGAGAACAAACCCAATATTGATAAACTCCCATATCTATTGGGTGAAATACCACAGTGTGCCATCACAGCAGCAAGATTTGTGACCTGTTGCCACAAGAAAAGGGCAACCAGTGAAGATCCAACACCATTGTAAATACAACCCATATATGTTTATTTATTTTCCCTTTTGTACTTTAACTATTTGCACATAATATGACATTTGAAATGTCTTTATTCTTTTTGAACTTTTGTGAGTGTAATGTTTACTGTAAAAATAAATAAATAAAATAATGTTTATTTCACTTTTGTTTACTATCTATTTCACTTGCTTTGGTAATGTAAACATATGTTTCCCATGCCAATAAAGCAACTTAAATTGAAATTGAATTGAAAAGAGAGAGAGGAGGGGCTTGTCTGAGCACTGCAAGGGCAGGTCAGAGATAAGAAAGTGCACTGTGTGTCAGGGGTGTAGGCCTTGACAGGCCCACCCAATCAGATTGACCAAAAACAAAACAATTATACATTATTTTTGCAGGCCCAGCCACCAACAGATTCCTGGCTAAGCCCCTGGTGTGTGTTGTATTTGAGTACAGTTTTTAGTGTGTATTGTATAGGAGTATAGTTTTTAGTTTGTGTGTGTGTGGGTGTTGGTACTGTAAAGACTGTGTGTATATAATGTGTGTGTGTGTGTGTGTATAATGTGTTTGCCAATGCTATCTTGCTTGTGAACACAAAGATAAGGGCCCTGCAGCTCTGCTCAATCACACACACATGTCACTGCACTTCTTATCACAGTAGCAAAGGCTACTAGCCTACTGCAACAATGTAGTTATGAAACATAGCAGCAGTAATAACTGCAACATTGTAGCTTCAGTCAGTACATTGGTCCACAGGTGCCATCTCCCAGATGATAGCTTCCCTCCAATGCATTTCCATCTATCTAGTTCCATCTCCTCTTACAGAACAATGAAACCCAGCTAGCGCTTTGGACAGGGGGATTCCCTTCCTCTCCTATGCTGTTAGTTACAGCAATATTATTAAGATTATTTGACCGCCATTATACCGTAATCAACTCAAAGATTTATAGCATGTGTGGTAGTGAGTTCCACACCCCTTCCTCACCCACTCGGGGCTCCCGAGTGGCGCAGTGGTCTAAGGCACTGCATCTCAGTACTAGAGGCGTCACTACAGACACCCTGGTTCGATTCCAGGCTGTATCACAACCGGCCATGATTGGGAGTCCCATAGGGCGGCGCACAATTGGCCCAGCGTCGTCCGGGTTTGGCCGGTGTAGGCCATCATTGTAAATAAGAATTTGTTCTTAACTGACTTGCCTAGTTAAATAAAGAAAAATAAACATAGGCTACGACCTACAGACAGTACAGTACCACGCAAATGCATTGCATCTGTATGTAGTTAAGTCAAGGCATGCATGGATTGCAGACTGTGTGCATTGCAAACCAGCGGGATTGGACTTCATCTCCTTGTTCTTATTCTGTACACGCACAAGTTTTTTGTGTGAAGGAAAACAAAGCAGAGGAACGCCCCCTAGGCAGACATACAGTAAGTGTGTGTGTGTGTGTGTGTGTGTGTTTGTGTGTGTCATGACGTTGTCATCTGGGCTTGTCTGGTATTTCAAATGGCAAGGGCAAAGAAAATAATGCAATACTGCAAAGTTCTAAACTACCATGTAGCCAGCTGCCTTGATGTCTTGCATCATTTGTATGTTTTTCACAAAGATCACTGTTCACATGTATAACCATGAAATACATGTGTGGTTATTATAAAGTCATTACAAATAGTACAATATCGACAGTGTTTTTCCACGATAAATCCTAAATGTAAACCGTAAAACAGCCGTTAGCCAACTAGTTTTCAGTATAGGGAAGGAAAAAGAACAGAATTCACTGACCATGAAAAAGCTTTGTTACTCACCAGCGCAGCTAGAAGAAGGGAATGACAGGCTTGACACGTACAGGGATGTTAATTAGACATTCCCTTCGTCTCAGAAACGCAGTTTTGGCCTTTTATTTTCGCTGCGGGACAGCCCTGACCGATTTCACATCAAGCGTCTCTGTTTAAATTCAAATATGGGTTTGCTATCTAAACGTTAGCTAGCTTCGAAAAAGGTTGATTGCAGCGTCGGTCATCGAAAAATATAAAATAAAATCAGTCTTGTAGTCTCTCCTCTTCTCTCTGAACACAAGTAGCTAGCTATTTTGCAGACTGGCTGGCTACGTCGCTCGTATTTGCTTTTCTGCGATTCAGCTGTGTTCATCGAAGACGTCCGCCATGAAATGCTCAGTGCCTCTTTAAACAACGATGTTTCCGGGGTTTGATGAAAAATCAATAGGAGGCGGGGTTTACGGTCAGCTGGGCACCTGTCATTTAAGCGATTGGTCAGTTGGACTTCCACGAACCAACCAGAGCTCAGCGTTCAGACGGGTTTTGATTAAACAAATATATTTAAATATCTGATAAAATCATTGGCTTAGGGGTTGGTGACGTTTAGCTAAGACACGCCCAGTACACGTGCTATTTGTCTCCTGTTTGCAAACGAGAGAGGAATGGAGCTTGAGGACTTCTCGGGTGCAAAAAGTTGGACCTGGACCTGAACGGACCCGATGACAATCAGACCCGGACCCGAATAGACCCAATATTTTTTTTGTAAAGGGGACAATCAGACCCAAACCCAAATGGACCCGGCGAAAACCAGACCTAGACTGGACCCATACGCTAACTGGTCCGGGTCTAGATCAGACCCGATTGGACCCAAGTGACAAAAAAAAGTATGTTTATCAGACAAGTTTATCTTCTGGTTAAGAAATATACTTTATATGTTGGCTAAGCCTTCTATAAGTCAATAAATTCACCTTATTAGAGTAAAATAAATGTGCTATAGGCGATCTGATGGCAATCAAACAAGACCCGACCAGGACCTGAGGGAAAAGTTAGAATTTTGGACAGCTAAGAATACAGGAGCTAGGAGGGTTCCGGAACCATAGCCATGTTCTCATACAGCTAAGAATAGATCATCAGTAGCAGCCAGTAAGCAGCCCAATATGGACTGGGCTCAGTCGGCTCAGTCATTTCCACCACGCCCCTGGCTGGGCCCTGGCATAAGGGTTAGTGCTATCCGGGATCCTTAGGACGTCCCTACTCTAAACCCTAAACTTAACCGTAACCCTTACCTAACCCTAACCTTAACCATTTTAAATTACAACTTCAATGGGGTGGGGACGTCTCAAGGATCCCGAGGACCCCTGGCGTAAGGCACTGGTTTCTAGGCCCAAGGCGAGCAAGCCCAGCTGGCCTATCTGCCTCAGTCACCATCATTACAGACCTGCCTGGCCTGGAGCATAGGCCTAGGCTACAACATATTTTACATATTCTGGAATGGTATAGCCTGGTCCATTGCTGTCATTGTCATGACAACCCTGTTTGGCATGAAAATGAGTGACAAGGAGTTGGAACGATATCACAACAGACCTTCACCCAGGCTTGGAATAGTCTCTGATGTGCAGCCAACTCCAGTGGGTCTACTGGGCCAAATCAGTTCTACTTGTCTAATAGCGCAACAATAACAAATGCTGACTACCTTGCCTTGTCTAGCCTACTTGAAAAATTGGCCTACTTGAAATAATATGTTGTGCTTGAATTTGTTGTGCTGCACTTTTGGGACTATTCCATTGGTTCCATTGCACAATAGCATACACTTGTTGTGATATGGGATATATAATCGCCAGTGACTTAAAAAAAAAAAAAACCCATCAGAAATGATTTTAAAATTGTATTCATGGAAAAGGAATGCCTTTTTATTATAGTAAAATAAAAACCCTGTCCCACATTCAGTTTGGGAACTTGCCAGAGGTTTTGAATTTGGGGAGGATGTGTTTCTAGCTCCCTCTCCTGGATAATTACATGTACTGTGGAGATCTGTGATCAATACTGCTGCCACACCTACAGTACCTGGATGTATTGGAGTTTTAAGTCTGTCAGAGCTAACGATGTGTCTATTGTTGCTTTCATGTGAATGTATTAGACAGTGTTTCGACCACTAAATCTCTGTCTAATACATTCACATGGGAGCATAATCAGTGTGCAGACTGGAGTTCCCTTTTCACCTTTTATTGAACACTTGACTGACATCCAGCACTTGCTATAAGTCAATGGATATGCATGTAATCTCTTTTCTATTGTTGCTCTCTGCTCAGATTATGTTTCCCCTTAGTTTAGAGAAGCTATTTCAATCTGATATTTCTCCTATGGTCTAAAATAGATGTGTATAGATGACTCCTCTCTAATATAACATATCACTCATGACTAGCAGACTGGTGTAATGTTAAGTGACTCATTATAAAAGTCTAACATCTTTCTCTATTACCAACCGTGTTTAAATTCATATAAATTATAAAACAGTTGACGTCATATTGCCACGGGTGTTTTTAAAAATGAATGCTGAAATATTCAAATAAGTTGTTACAGATACAGGTATCCTGTATGTGTATTTCCTCTCCTTCTGTCCTTATCACAGGTGTCCTTTGTTTTCCTGATTGGTGGTCGTTGGTGTGTCCGACATCCGTTCGTCTGCAGATTGCTGAGGTGGACCAATCAGTGGAAACTCCTCTGTATTGCACCACCTGTTTCTGGTTTTCATTACCCAATCACATCACACATCCCCTTGTTTAAAAAGCCAGTCAGTTGTTGTTTGTGAGTATGAATACTGTGGTATCTTTTTTTTTTTTTTTTGTGTTCTCACTCATTTGCTGTTTACTCCATATGGTAACTATGTTTGTTCCTGGGAAAAGGGGAGTTTTAGCAAGTCGCCCTTGGGCATACACTACCCGTAGGAAAACTTTGTCTAAAAACACTAGTTAGACTTGAGCGGACCACCCACTGTATTTTTTTGTAGTTAGTAGTAAGCTTAGCGGTTCTTGAGGCAGGCAAGATCAGTATAGTTTTTTTTGACATTATTTAATTCCTTGGGTCCTGCTTAGCCCCTTTTCCCCAAACCTTTACTGTGTGTTTATAATATACATTTTTGTGTTTGACGGTAGCTTTTTGGTTGTCGGTGTATTTTTGTTTTCACTGTTCCTTGGCAATATTCTAATTCGCATGAGTTATGTTATGGGTCTCTTTCCATCCACCCTAGACTTTTAAAGCCACGGGGTTCGTAACATAAGTGAAAAAAAATTACATCATTACTGCCCAGCTCTGTCCGGGGGTTGAAACAGCAACCTTGTGTCTACTGCCTCGCTGGTGCTAGGCTCTGCTCCCAGGTACTGTTTCCTGGCATTGTGCCCTAGAGCAAGGCACGTAACACCTACATGGCTCTTCATCCGATGGCCGCTACTCCACGGCTGTCCCTGTGCCTCTCAACTTGTGTCATCATGTTGTATTGGGACCTACAGGTAACTGCCAAAATAAAGGAAACCCCAACATAAAGTGTCTTAACAGGGCGTTGGGCCAGAACAGCTTCAATGCACTTTAGCATAGATTCTACAAGTGTCCGGAACTCTATTGGAGGAATGCGACACCATTCTTCCTTGAGAAATTCCATAATTTTGTGTTCTGTTAATTGTGGTGGAAAACGCTGTCTCAGGCACCTCCCAAGAATCTCCCATAAGTGTTCAATTGGGTTGAGATCTTGTCATGGCCTATGGTTTACATCGTTTTCATGGTCATCAAACCATTCAGTAACCACTCGTGCCCTGTGGATGGGGGCATAGCAATGGTAGCCAAAATAATGGCCTGCCTAGCATTTTTATACATGACCCTAAGCATGATGGGATGTTAATTGCTTAATTTACTCAGGAACCACACCTGTGTGGGAGCACCTGCTTTCAATATACTCTCTATCCCTCATTTACTCAAGTGTTTCCATTATTTTGGCATTAACGTGTAGCTGGTCCAGAGGCTAATGGCTAGCATGCTAACCATGTCACTATCCCATTCAGGATAAACACTGATTTAGCCGTTGGATGAGGGCTAAATCAGTGAACAGAAGCTAGATCTATTCCATCTCTATAAAAACAAATGTCTTAAATAATTGAATCAAGTCCACAAGTAGTTTTTAATTCAAATGAGTATAAAAGGACTAAAACATTGCTTGGTTTTAAAGGACAAAAACACTCCATCATACAATCGGGATTCTGCTGGAGTTGCCCTCCATCTTGACTCCCACAATCCGTCTTGGCCAGACAGGATGTCGACCCATAAACATGTCACTCCATCTCCCTCTGGTTAGTGTTGGAGTGTACAGTACATCTCTTCACCTGTGTGATTGCATAGACCCGCAATAACGTCTGCTAAATATGTGTATGTGACCAATAATATTTGATTTGATTGGATATCATCACAGTGGAAGAGTAGAGGGCTGGTTGAGTTATGGAAGAAGCTAGCCTTGTACCACCATCCTGATCTTGCAAGTTTACATTCCGTTTCACTACACTGATTGAATCTGTGTGTTTTGTCTGTGTGTTTTGAATAGAGTACTCCTGAGTGGCGCAGTGGTCTAAGGCACTGCATCGCAGTGCTAACTGTGCCACTAGAGATCCTGGTTCGAATCCAGGCTCTGTCGTAGCCGGCCGCGACCGGGAGACTCATGGGCGGCGCACAATTGGCCCAGCGTCGTCCAGGGTAGGGGAGGGAATGGCCGGCAGGGATGTAGCTCAGTTGATAGAGCATGGCGTTTGCAACGCCAGGGTTGTGGGTTCGATTCCCACGGGGGGCCAGTATATAAATAAAAAAAAAGATATGTATTCACTAACTGTCAGTCACTCTGGATAAGAGCGTCTGCTAAATGACTAAAATGTAAATGTAATGTAATGAATCCATGATCAGGATGGTCGTACGAGGCTTGGAATAAGGCATGAAGCCTATGACTCAGATGTTTGGACTGGCCTTTGGTTTACTGCTTCCCTATGGTGTCACAGCACTGAGTCAGTATAGTATATCCTCCTTTGACAGCCTGAGAGAATCTCTCAGTCAATCTGTCCTGACACAGGGCTTTTACAGTATACAGTTGATCTGTAGAGGCACATTTCCCCATGAGAAGAGACTTGATGGGACACACGGCCAAGGAGTGGAACAGGAGATGGAGTGAGGCAGGAAAAAGGAGAAAACAGTGTTTCATATTTCTGATGGTGTGACCAACCAGACACAAGTGTCTGTCTTTGGAATGCTCAAAGAATTCTGTTCCTGTAGAGATTTGTACAGTTACTCTATTTCGATTTATTAGGATCCCCTTTAGCCAACGCCAATGGCGACAGCTAGTCTTACTGGGGTCTGACACATAACGAAAAAGACAGACCAAATACTTTACAATTGACATGCATTTAAAAAATATGAACGTGTAGTGTGTCTGCATCGTAGTTCCACATACATGTCAGTACATACACACAACATGTAGGTCACATGGGGGAGAGGCGGTGTGCCGTGAGGTGTTCGTTTATTTGTTTTTTGAAACCAGGTTTGCTGTTCACTTGCGCTATATAAGATGGAAGGGAGTTCCATACACTTATGGCTCTGTATATTACTGTACGTTTCCTTGAATTTGTTCTGGACCTGGGGACTGTGAAAAGACCCCTGGTGGCATGTCTGGTGAGGTCGGTGCAGTGTGTAAGTTGACTATGCAAACAATTTGGAATTTCCAACACATTCATGATTTGTACCAAATACAATGCTCTTAGTTTTAGAGATGTTCAGAGCCAGTTTATTACTGGTCACCCATTCCAAAACAGACTGCAACTCTTTGTTAAGGGTTTCAGTGACTTCATTAGCTGTGGTTGCTGATGCGTATTTGGTTGAATCATCAGCATACAAGGACACATATACTTTGTTTAATGCCAGTGGCAGGTTATTGGTCAAAATTGAAAAGAGTAGACGGTCTAGAGAGCTGCCCTGCGGTACGCCACACTTTACATTTTGACATTAGAGATGCTTCCATTAAAGAAAACCCTCTGAGTTCTATTAGATAGATAGCTCTGAATCCACAATATGGCAGAGGTTGAAAAGCCATAACACATATGTTTTCTCAACAGCAGGTTATGGTCAATAATATCAAAGGCTGCACTGAAATCTAACAGTACAGCTCCCACAATCTTCTTCATATCAATTTATTTCAACCAATCATCAGTCATTTGTGTCATTGCAGTACATGTTGAGTGTCCTCTATAAGCATGCTGAAAGTCTGTTGTTAATTTGCTTACAGAGAGATAGCACTGTATTTGGTCAAACACAATTTCTTTCCAACAGTTTGCTACGAGCTGGCAGCAAGCTAATAGGTATGCTTTTAGAACCAGTAAAGGCCGCTTTACCACTCTTGGGTAGCGGAATGCCTTTGGCTTCCCTCCAGGCCTGAGGACAAAGACTTTCTTCTAGGCTCAGATTAAATATTTGACAGATAGGAGTGGCTATAGAGTCAGCTACCATCCTCAGTAGCTTTCCATCTAAGTTGTCAATGACAGGAGGTTTGTCATTATTGATCGATAATAATTTTTCCACCTCTCCCACACTAACTTCACAAAATTCAAACTTGCAATGCTTTTCTTTCATTACTTGCTTTTGTTATGCATAAGTATGTTGGCTCAGTGTTCATTGTTGGCATTTCCTGCCTAAGTTTGCCCACTTTGTCAATGAAGCAATTAAAGTAATTGGCAACATCAAATGGTTTTGTGATGAATAAGCCATCTGATTCAATGAAAGATGGAGTTGAATTTGTCTTTCTGCCCATAATTTCATTTAAAGTACTCAAGTTTTTTTCCATCATTGATCTTGGCTTTCATAATACAGTTTCTTCTTCTTTATGTTGAGTTTAGTCACATAATTTCTCAATTTGCAGTTAGTCAGCCAGTCAGATGTGCAGCCAGACTTATTAGCCACTCCTTTTGCCCCGTCTCTTTCAAGCATACAGTTTTTCAATTCCTCATCAATCCATGGAGCCTTAACAGTTCTAACAGTCAGTTTCCTAACAGGTGCCTGTTTATCAATAAGAAGAAGCAATTTCATAAATTCATCAAGTGCAGTGTCTGGATGCTCCTTATTAATCACATCAGACCAACAAATATTTTTTACATCATCCACATAAGAGTCACCGTAAAATGTTTTGTATGATCTCTTATACACTATTTTAGGCCCAGCTGTTGGAACTTTGGCTTTCCTGGATATAGCCACTATATTGTGATCACTGCATCCAATGGGTGCGGATACAGCTTTAGAACAAAGTTCTACAGTATTAGTAAAAATGTGATCAATATATGTGGATGATCTTGTTCCTGTAGTATTTGCAAACACCATAGTAGGAAGATTAATAACCTGAACCAGATTACAGGCACTGGTTACAGTGAGAAGCTTCCTCTTGAGCGGACAGCTTGATGAAAACCAGTCAATATTCAGGTCCCCAAGAAAGTAGACCTCTCTGTTTACATCACATACACTATCAAGCATTTCACACATATTATTTAGATACTGACTGTTAGCACTAGGTGGCCTATAGCAACAACCAAAAGAAAAGGCTTTAGATGTGGCAAGTGAACCTGCAACCACAACACTTCAATAACACTTGACATACGATCTTCTCTAAGCATTACAGGGATATGGCTCTGTATATATATAGCAACACCTCCCCCATAAGCATTTCTGTGTCTTCTATAGATGTTATATCCTTGTATTGCTACTGCTGTATCATCAAATTAATTATCTAAGTGAGTGTCAGAAATGGCTAATATATGAATGTGATCTGACGTAAGGCGGGCACTGTGCGGTACATCAGAAGGCGGGGTCTGGCACCGTGCGGTACATTTGCAGTGATGTCACCTCCACATCCTGTGGTCTGGAGTTCAGAGCGTTCCCAGTGGGGCTGTATCCTGCCGAGCGGCCCGTGGGGCTGAACCCTGTGGTGCGTCCCAGAGGGGTGAAAGCGGTGGAGCGCGTGACGGCGGGACGGCGCAGGAAACGGTTGGACGTCACCAGGTCCCCATAGCCCGCTGCATGCGAGAAGGCGTAGCCGGAACGGCGGGAGCTGGTGCGGCGAATCCGGGCGCGGCGTGCTGGGGGAGGGGGCGCGGCCTTGGCCTGTCTCACCTTGAACATCACCTGGTGGGAAGGGGAGGGATAGGGTTAATCTTAGATTCAGTAGGGATGTGTCACAAATGGCACCCTATACCCATAATGAGCCCTGGTCTAAAGTAGTGTACTATAAAGGGAATAGGGTGCTATTTGAGACTCATACTAGGATTGTAGGTCAGATTTCCACCTGTTCCCTTTATAAGACCCCAACTTTTGGTTATCGTGAGAGAGCAGGTGAATAGTGTGATTGGTTAGTATTCCTAGAAGACAGTGTGTGATTGGTCAGTGTTCCTAGAAGCCAACGTGTGATTGGTCAATGGTCCCACCTTGTCGTTGATGGTGGGGCGGAGCTGTATCAACAGGAAGCGGTAGGCGACCACAGGAAGTACACAGAGGATGGCGGTGAGGAGGATGGTCAGCCATACGTTGGGCTGGTTCAGGGAGTTCCTGGCTGTGCCTGGTGCATACAGTGGAGTCACACACACACATACACACACACACACACAGACACAGACAGACATATATATACACACACACACACACACACACACACAAACATCTTTAAAATGAATGTAAACAACACTGCTTACTCCTATATCTTGTTCCTTCAGATTTACAGGCTAGGTCTAGAGTTTGTCTCGGGTCAAGATAGTGTTTCATGACGTGTAGTGTTGAGTTGTGAGTGTGCTGTTCACCGATGAAGGGGAAGGATGCAGGGGAGATGAGGTACGTGCCGTTGCTGTACATGGTGAAGGTGACAGTAAAGTACATGGCCAGACTCCCCCACACAAAGAACTGGTTCACCGCTGTCCAGTAAGACAGGTCTAGACCCAGCTACAGTACAGAGAGGGGGGAATATATATAACTGATTAATAAAGACGGACACCAACTGACAAGCAACGACAGACAGACAGACACACGGACATGTCCATGGACTAATAGTATTCAATCAGGGCAGGTAGTTCATCATAGAAATTAGGGTCTAGCCTTCTCAAGTCAAAGTTTAGAAATCTGGGTCAATTTACATTTTTTTCCCCCAGTAGTTGACTGTGGTCCCAATGTACTGTGCTGTCTGTACTGTAATGCATTGTACTGTAATTACTGTAATGCAATGTATTGTACTGTAATGTATTGTACTGTAATTACTGTAATGCAATGTATTGTACTTTAATGTATTGTACTGTACTGTAATGTATTGTACTGTAATGTATTGTACTGTAATTACTGTAATGCAATGTATTGTACTTTAATGTATTGTACTGTATTTTACTGTAATGTAATGTACTGTAATTTATTATACTATACTGTAATGTATAGTACTGTAATGTAATGCACTGTAATGTATTTTATTGTACTTTACTGTAATGTACTTTACTGTACTGTAATGTAATTTATTTTACTGTACTCTAATGTATTGTATTGTACTGTCTGTCTGTACTGTAATGCATTGTACTGTAATGCAATGTATTGTACTGTAATATATTGTACTGTAATGCATGGTACTGTAATTACTGTACTGTAATGCAATGTATTGTACTGTATTGTACTGTACTGTAATATAATGTATTATACTATACTGTAATTTATTGTACTGCAATGTATTTTACTGTACTGTAATGTACTGTAATGTTATTTATTGTACTGTAAAGTAATGTAATTTACTGTAATGTATTGTATTGTACTGTACCTGTAAACAGACAGTGATGACCAGACAGGTCTGGGCCAGCAGGGCGAAGGACTGGTAGTCAGCAATGTCTCGGCCGTCGTCTCGGACCGTGTCGCACATGGCAGCAAAGGGGATGAAGAACAGCACCACTGAGCTGTAGACACTGTGGAGGGAACACTTAAAGAAGGCTGTCTTACTGAAGTACTGATTCATCTGGCCTGGAATGTACAGCTGGGGGTGCTGGGAACTCCACATGTCATTCACATCCTGGACACCAGGGGGAGACAGAGATAGGAAACATGATAAATTGCACAAATCTTAAAATGTGTCGGAGAAACATAAGAAATGCACACGCACTTTGCATAAACACATTCATTCCTGCGCACGAACATACAAACACATTCACATCACACACTTTTACCTGGTCAAACAGACTCATGCCCAGTACAGGTAGAGCTGTGTAGACTAGGTTATACAATGTGATGAACCACTCGTCATACACCGTCTGGAAGAAACACAACCAGATCAGAGACAAATAACCTTATATCTGAAGATACTGAATAGTTGTTAAAAGGGGCAGTGCAGTCAAAAACATGATTTTCTTGTAAAATAAATAAAGAGACTTCCACGCTATGAGGGCCAAATAACACTCTGAAATTGTATAAATGATGATAATGCCCTTTTTAGTGTAAGAGTAAATGTTTTTTATTATACATATTTTCTACCCCCTTTTTCTCCCCAATTACGATCTTGTCTCATCAGGAGGCAAAGGTCGATTCATGCGTCCTCCGAAACATGACCCACCAAACCGCACTTCTTAACACCCACTCGCTTAACCCGGAAGCCAGCAGCACCAATGTGTTGGAGGAAAACCGAAGTAAGCCTGCAGGCGCCAGGCCCGCCACAAGGAGGCGCTAGAGCGCAATGAGCCAAACCCTCCCCTAACCCGGACGATGCTAGACCAATTGTGCATTTTTTTGTCATTTAGCAGACGCTCTTATCCAGAGAAACTTACAGGAGCAATTAGGGTTAAGTGCCTTGCTCAAGGGCACATCGACAGATTTTTCACCTAGTCGGCTCGGGGATTAGAACCAGCGACCTTTCAGTTACTGGCACTACGCTCTTAACCGCTAACCTACCTGCCGCCCCAATCTGATCTGATTATTCTGACCAATGACCAGTCATCTTTTATTTGCATTTGTATCCTCCTACTTTAAAGTGGTAAGCGGGGTAGGCTCTAGAGCTTAGATGATTCTATCTGCCAATCAGGACTGTGTATGTAAATAAATAAGCATTTGTATCAACACGCCCACATGATTTTTACATTTACATTTTAGTCATTTAGCAGACGCTCTTATCCAGAGCGACTTACAGTTAGTGAATACATATATATATATTTTTTTATACTGGCCCCCCCCTGGGAAACGAACCCACAACCCTGGCGTTGCAAACGCCATGCTCTATCAACTGAGCTACATCCCTGCCGGCCATTCCCTCCCCTACCCTGGACGACGCTGGGCCAATTGTGCGCCGCCCATGAGTCTCCCGGTCGCGGCCGGCTGCGACAGAGCCTGGATTCAAACCAGGATCTCTAGTGGGACAGTTAGCACTGCGATAAAGTGCCTTAGACCACTGCGCCACTCAGGAGTTATGATCAGATTGAGTAGTTCAATGGCAAAAGGAGGCTTAGGGAAATAAATTATTAAACATATATTTGGAGTTATTTTCATGAAATAAACACACACAGTGATTTATTAGGCATACAGTGATGATTTAAAAATCTAATGACTGCATGGGGCTTTAAAGCAATAGGAGTAGAGGAGTATAGGAGTTGCTTTAGAATTGGGCATGGGTTGGCTAGAGTTTAAGAAATTAAAATAATAATATAATAATAATATGCCATTTAGCAGACGCTTTTATCCAAAGCGACTTACAGTCATGCGTGCATACATTTTTGTGTATGGGTGGTCCCGGGGTTCGAACCCACTACCCTGTCGTTACAAGCGCCGTGGAGGGTCTCTCTCCCCTCTTCTCCCCCCTCTCTCCCCTCTTCTCCCCCCTCTTCTCTCTCCCCTCTTCTCCCCCCTCTCTCCCCTCTTCTCCCCCCTCTTCTCCCCCTCTCTCCCTCTCTCTCCCCTCTCTCTCCCTCTCTCTCCCCTCTCTCTTCCCTCTCTCTTCCCTCTCTCTCCCCTCTCTCTCCCCTCTCTCTCCCTCTCTCTTCCCTCTCTCTTCCCTCTTTCTTTCTCTCTTACCTGTGCTGAGAATCCGCAGAAGAAGGCGTACCAGAAGTGGACGAAGGTAAAGGTGAAGTTCTTGTAGAAGAAGTAACGCAGGAACTTACACATCCTCAGGTAGGACCAGCGACCGTGGACCAGGAGGAGGCGCTGTCAATGAAATCAAAACAAACTTTATTTAAACAACAAAATAGACTAATAGAACATTAAATCACTGATAAAAGTCCAAGATAAAAAGGTGGGTTTTGCATTATGATTTAAAAATGTCTCTGGTGTGTCAGTGGCCGTCTTACCTCTAGGAAGCGGAACTGAGCAAAGGAGTAGTCTGAGGAGAGGACCGCCTGCATCCCCTCCTGACCACTTATACCGACACCTATATGAGCAGCTGGAGAGAGAGAGGGGAGGAGAGGGAGGAAGACGGGGGAGGAGGGAGAGAAGGGGAAGAGAGAGGGGAGGAGGGAGAGAGGGGAGAGAGAGAGAGAAGAGAGGGATAGAGAGGGGAGGAGGGAGAGCGGGGAAACGGGAGAAGGGAAGAGATAGGGGAAAGGAGTCGAAGTGCTGTTGTAATTTAGGTTGTCCCCGCTATAGGGTTTTTAGCCTACTTCACGCTCTATATCGTCAAGGAGAGGATTTGGAAGATAAGGGAGATAGATGGGGGTAAGAGAGAAGGTACAGCATCTGTTCAGGATCGTCGGGCTCAGAGGGTTAAGCTCAAGGTTCACAACTTTTCTCTCCGCTGCTTACCCCCCCTTTCATACCCTTAAAATAATTATACGGAGTCTGTTTTTCCCTAACACTCCACATGGTTAAGTATTTGACTGGTGTAGTTATCTGATCCTAGATCTATAGTCAAAGGGTGCTCCTATATGGGCACTGGTCAAAAGTAGTGCACTACTTAGGGGATAATGTACCATTTGGGACACACTCAAAGAGAGTACAGTTGAAGTCAGAAGTTTACACACATCTTAGCCAAATACATTTCAACTCAGTTTTTCACAATTCCTGACATTTAATCCTAGTAAAAATTCCCTGTCTTAGGTCAGTTATCATCACCACTTTATTTTAAGAATGTGAAATGTCAGAATAATAGTAGAGAGAATGATTTACCTCGGCTTTTATTTCTTTCATCACATTCCCAGTGGGTCAGAAGTTTACATATACTCAATTAGTATTGGGTAGCATTGCCTTTAAATTGTTTAACTTGGGTCAAATGTTTCGGGTAGCCTTCTACAAGCTTCCCACAATAAGTTGGGTGAATATTGGCCCATTCCTTCTGACAGAGCTGGTGTAACTGAATCAGGTTTGTAGGCCTGTAGAGCTTTGTGATGGCCACTCCAATACCTTGACTTTGTTGTCCTTAAGCCATTTTGCCACAACTTTGGAAGTATGCTTGGGGTCATTGTCCATTTGGAAGACCAATTTGCGACCAAGCTTTAACTTCCTGACTGATGTCTTGAGATGTTGCTTCAATATATCCACATAATTTTCCAAAGTCCTTCCTCATGATGCCATCTATTTTGTGAAGTGCACCAGTCCCTCCTGCAGCAAAGCACCCCCACAGCATGATGCTGCCACCCCCGTGCTTCACGGTTGGGATGGGGTTCTTCGGCTTGCAAACGACCCCCTTTTTCCTCCAAACATAACGATGGTCATTATGGCCAAACAGTTCTATTAGTTTCATCAGACCAGAGGACATTTCTCCAAAAAGTACGATCTTGGTCCCCATGTGCAGTTGCAAACCGTAGTCTGGCTTTTTTATGGCGGTTTTTGAGCAGTGGCTTCTTCCTTGCTGAGCGACCTTTCAGGTTATGTCGATATAGGACTTGTTTTACTGTGGATATACATACATTTGTACCTGTTTCCTCCAGCATCTTCACAAGGACCTTTGCTGTTGTTCTGGGATTGATTTGCAGTTTTCGCACCAAAGTACGTTCATCTCGAGGAGACAGAATGTGTCTCCTTCCTGAGCGGTATGATGGCTGCGTGGTCCCATGGTGTTTATACGTGCGTACTATTGTTTGTACAGACGAACGTGGTACCTTCAGGCATTTGGAAATTGCTCCCAAGGATGAACCAGACTTGTGGAGGTCTACCATTTTTTTTTCTGAAGTCTTGGCTGATTTCTTTTGATTTTCCCATGATGCCAAGCAAAGAGGTAGTGAGTTTGAAGGTAAGCCTTGAAATACATCCACAGGTACACCTCCAATTGACTCAAATGATGTCAATTAGCCTATCAGAATCTTCTAAAGCCATGACATCATTTTCTGGAATTTTCCAAGCTGTTTAAAGGTACAGTCAATTTAGTGTATGTAAACTTCTGACCCACTGGAATTGTGATACAGTGAATTATAAGTGAAATAATCTGTCTGTAAACAATTGTTGGAAAATTTACTTGTGTCATGCACAAAGTAGATGTCCTAACTGACTTGCCAAAACTATAGTTTGTTAACAAGAAATTTGTGGAGTGGTTGAAAAACGAGTTTTAATGACTCCAACCCAAGTGTATGTAAACTTCCGACTTCAACTGTAAATTGTAAGTTACCTTTAATCATGCTGACGTCGTTGGCCCCGTCTCCTATGGCCAGAGTGACAGCCTGTTTGTACTTCTTGACCAGCTCCACCACCTGGGCCTTCTGTAGTGGGGTCACTCTGCAGCAGATCACCGTCTTACACAGACAGGCTGTACGCAGCAACAACAGCTCCATGCTTCGCTCCAGGGCAAAGGCCTGACGGGGGAGGAGTAGAATGTCATCTAATGGTAACAGATCAAATATGGATGTTGACCATCCAGATCCTATTACACTGATCAGAATCAGTTCAAATGTGTCTTATCTTTCTATAATGGGTCTTATCTGTCTATAATGTGTTTTATCTGTCTATAATGGGTCTTATCTGTCTAAAATGGGTCTTATCTGTCTAGAATGTGTCTTATCTGTCTAGAATGTGTCTTATCTGTTTAAAATGGGTATTATCTGTCTAAAATGGGTCTTATCTGTCTAAAATGTGGGCACAATCAGATATTGTACACAATAAGGATCAGGGCCCATGTTAGTGCAAGATATACAGTAAATAGCACCCCTTCTCAAAAAACCAACACTCGATCCCACTGATGTCAACAACTACAGACCAGTATCCCTTCTTTCTTTTCTTTCCAAAACTATTGAGCGTGCCGTCTTTAGCCAACTCTCTTGCTATCTCTCTCAGAATGACCTTCTTGATCCAAACCAGTCAGGTTTCAGGACTGGTCATTCAACTGAGACTGCTCTTCTCTGTGTCACGGAGGCTCTCCGCACTGCTAAAGCTAACTCTCTCTCCTCTGCTCTTGTCCTTCTAGACCTGTCTGCTGCCTTTGATACTGTGAACCATCAGATCCTCCTCTCCACCCTCTCCGAGCTGGGCATCTCCGGCGCGGCTCACTCCTGGATTGCGTCCTACCTGACCGGTCGCTCCTACCAAGTGGCGTGGCGAGAAGCTGTCTCCGCACCACGTGCTCTCACCACTGGTGTCCCCCAGGGCTCAGTTCTAGGCCCTCTCCTATTCTCCCTATACACCAAGTCACTTGGCTCTGTCATATCCTCACATGGCCTCTCCTATCATTGCTACGCTGACGATACACAACTAATCTTCTCCTTTCCCCCTTCTGATAACCAGGTGGCGAATCGCATCTCTGCATGTCTGGCAGACATATCAGTATGGATGACGGATCACCACCTCAAGCTGAACCCTGGCAAGACGGAGCTGCTCTTCCTCCCGGGGAAGGACTGCCCGTTCCATGATCTCGCCATCACGGTTGACAACTCCGTTGTGTCCTCCTCCCAGAGTGCGAAGAGCCTTGGCGTGACCCTGGACAACACCCTGTCGTTCTCCGCTAACATCAAGGCGGTGACCCGATCCTGCAGGTTCATGCTCTACAACATTCGGAGAGTACGACCCTGCCTTACACATGAAGCGGCACAGGTCCTAATCCAGGCACTTGTCATCTCCCGTCTGGATTACTGCAACTCGCTGTTGGCTGGCCTCCCTGCCTGTGCCATTAAACCCCTACAACTCATCCAGAATGCCGCAGCCCGTCTGGTGTTCAACCTTCCCAAGTTCTCTCACGTCACCCCCCTCCTCCGCACACTCCACTGGCTTCCAGTTGAAGCTCGCATCCGTTACAAGACCATGGTGCTTGCCTATGGAGCAGTGAGGGGAACGGCACCTCCATACCTTCGGGCTCTGATCAGTCCCTACACCCAAACGAGGGCATTGCGTTCATCCACCTCTGGCCTGCTGGCTCCCCTTCCTCTGCGGAAGCATAGTTCCCGCTCAGCCCAGTCAAAACTGTTCGCTGCTCTGGCACCCCAATGGTGGAACAAGCTCCCTCACGACGCCAGGACAGCGGAGTCACTCACCACCTTCCGGAGACATTTGAAACCCCACCTCTTTAAAGAATACCTGGGATAGGATAAAGTAATCCTATCCCAGGTATTGTTAAGTGGTTATCCCACTGTTAAGTGGTTATCCCACTGGCTATAGGGTTAATTGTTAAGTGGTTATCCCACTGGCTATAGGGTGAATGCACCAATTTGTAAGTCGCTCTGGATAAGAGCGTCTGCTAAATGACGTAAATGTGCCCTTGAGCAAGGCACTTAACCCTAATTGCTCCTGTAAGTCGCTCTGGATAAGAGCGTCTGCTAAATGACTAAAATTTAATGTAAATGTAGTGTCTGACCAGACTGATATACAGTAAATAGGACTGTAGTGTCTCACCAGACGGATATACAGTAAATAGGACTGTAGTGTCTCACCAGACTGTGTCCGTTGATGATCAGGCCATACTCCCCATTCACCTCCTCGTCCCTGACCACCTTCGGCTTGTTACCCAGCGTCCTCTCTGGCATGAAGTTGGCCGCCTCCTCTGCACCTGGTTTCATGGTGCTCCATGCATTCCTGGTTCAACACCAACACAATTCCTCTCATCTAATACTATTCCACCATGTCTATGTTATCAACCTGGGATGGGATGGGACGGGATGGCCGATTCTGGTTCTGGAGAACTACAGCAATGATAGGCTTTGTTCCAATCCCACTTTAGCCCCGGCCAACTAATCAGTCTTCCATTGAAGGCCATGATTAGTTGAATAAGGTGAATTGGTGCTGGGTAGGAACTAAACCCTGGACACATGTTGTTAGTATTGATGCAGGGCCTGAGACAGTGCGGGCGGGGTTATGTGGTTATGATGTCACTTCCTCTGACCTCAGTTCCTGTCTGACATCGTCTGGGTTGTTGGCTGACACAATGAAAATGTCGTTCATCTCCTCTCGCAGCATGTTGCAGGAGTAGCCAATGTTCTCCGCCGTCTCTGTCACATGACAAAACACACAATATAATAGGTGGAGACAGACACAGTGATGTGGACATGTGGTCCTATACATCACAGGAAGTTGGTGGCACCTTAATTGCGGAGGACGGGCTCGTGGTAATGGCTGGAGTGGAATGAGTGGAACGGTATCAATTACATCAAATGCATGCCACCAGAGGTCTCTTCACAGTCCCCAAGTCCAGAACAGACTACGGGAGGCGCACAGTACTACATAGAGCCATGACTACATGGAACTCTATTCCACATCAGGTAACTGATGCAAGCATTATAGCCTCATAATATTGGCTGGAATGGAGTAGAATGGCTGGAATGGAGTGAATGGAATGGTATCAAACCTGAAAACAATGTGTTTGATACCATTCTTTTCACTCCATTTTGGCCAATATTATGAGCTGTTTTTTTTACCAACCCTTTAAAGGTCCAATGCAGCCATTTTTTCTCAATATCAAATCATTTCTGGGTAACAATTAAGTATCTTACTGTGATTGTTTTCAATTAAAATGGTCAAAAAGAAACAAAAATAGCTTCTTAGCAAAGAACAATTTCTCATGCAAGAATTTTGCTAGGACTGTCTGGGATGGTCTGAGTGGGGAGGGGAAAATGAGCTATTATTGTCAGAGAGGTTTGGAACTCTCTTTCTTATTGGTCTATTAACTAATTTACCTCCTAGTGATGTCACCAGGCAGGCCAAAACACCATCCCACCAAAACAGGCTGGGATTTCAGGCAGTCTTCTCAAACAGCGCTTACACTAAAAGAGAATTACCATCATTTTTACAATTTCACAGTATTATTCTAACCTCATAGTGTGGAAATATATATTAAACACAGGAAAATCCCATTTTGGACTACACTGGGCCTTTAAGGTTGGTGGTTGAACTCAGCTGTGGTTTCGAAAAAGCTCTTTCAGTGAGGCAGCTAGCTCAGAAATCCTATTGTTATTACATTATATGTGAGGCAGATATCTCAGAGAATATTGCTTGGTGACTTACCCTGTTTGTCGCCGGTGAGCACCCAGATCTTGATGTCAGCTTTGGCCAGCTGCTCGATGGTCTGAGGCACACCATCCTGGAGCTTATCCTCTATGGCTGTAGCTCCCAGCAACTATACACACACACACACACACACACACACACACACACACACACACACACACACACACACACACACACACACACACACACACACACACATACACACACACATTAAATTACAATCCTTTCTCTATCTGTAAGAGATAAAACTTATTCTGGTTCAGTGTTCAGGACATACCATCAGGTATTTTTATATCTGTAATCTGTAGAAGCTAAACTGACTCTGGTTCAGAGTTAAATTACAGCTAAAATATGAAAGTAAGTGGGAACTTTGTATTGGGAATTTTATTGATAATTTTCAGTGGATTGTGTGTGTTAAATAGCAGCCCACATCATTTAGCAGACGCTCTTATCCAGAGCGACTTAGAAATTGGTGCATTCACCTTATAGCCAGTGGGATAACCACTTTAAAATATGTTATTTTTTCTTTTTTGGGGTGGGGTAAGGGAGTGGGGGGGTATAAGGATTACTTTATCCTATCCCAGGTATTCTTTAAAGAGGTGGGGTTTCAAATGTCTCCAGAAGGTGGTGAGTGACTCCGCTGTCCTGGCGTCATGAGGGAGCTTGTTCCACCATTGGGGTGCCAGAGCAGCGAACAGTTTTGACTGGGCTGAGCGGGAACTGTGCTTCCGCAGAGGTAAGGGGGCCAGCAGGCCAGAGGTGGATGAACGCAATGCCCTCGTTTGGGTGTAGGGACTGATCAGAGCCTGAAGGTACGGAGGTGCCGTTCCCCTCACAGCTCCGTAGGCAAGCACCATGGTCTTGTAGCAGATGCGAGCTTCAACTGGAAGCCAGTGGAGTGTGCGGAGGAGCGGGGTGACGTGAGAGAACTTGGGAATGTTGAACACCAGACGGGCTGCGGCATTCTGGATGAGTTGTAGGGGTTTAATGGCACAGGCAGGGAGCCCAGCCAACAGCGAGTTGCAGTAATCCAGACGGGAGATGACAAGTGCCTGAATTAGGACCTGTGCCACTTCCTGTGTAAGGCAGGGTCGTACTCTCCGAATGTTGTAGAGCATGAACCTACAGGATCGGGTCACCGCCTTGATGTTAGCGGAGAACGACAGGGTGTTTGCACTCTGGGAGGAGGACACAACAGAGTTGTCAACCGTGATGGCGAGATCATGGAACGGGCAGTCCTTCCCCGGGAGGAAGAGCAGCTCCGTCTTGCCGAGGTTCAGCTTGAGGTGGTGATCCGTCATCCACACTGATATGTCTGCCAGACATGCAGAGATGCGATTCGCCACCTGTATCATCCAGTCTTTGTCTGTAGAAGTTAATTTGATCCTGGTTCAGTGTTTAACTCCTTCCTACCATCAGGTCTTTCTCTATCTGTAGAAGTTAATCAGATCCTGGTTCAGTGTTTAACTCCTTCCTACCATCAGGTCTTTCTCTATCTGTAGAAGTTAATCATCTGATCCTGGTTCAGTGTTTAACTTCCC